GAATATGTTCATCGAATTGGACGTACTGGTCGTTGTGGAAATACTGGCCGAGCTATTTCCTTTTTTGATCCTGAATCAGATAACCATTTGGCACAGCCTTTAGTGAAAGTACTGTCAGATGTAAGTTTTAAATGTTTAAAACTGAATGGATAGTAGTCTTACCTTACCATTGAAAGTAGACATTAAATATATGTGTATATTCAGGATAAGTAAACTGTTCCAATATTTGAGACTTGATGCATGTTGTATATGAAATTAATGTCTTTTTTAAAGGCTCAACAGGATGTTCCTGCATGGTTGGAAGAAATTGCCTTTAGTACATATGTTCCTGGCTTCAGTGGTAGTGCAAGAGGAAATGTGTTTGCATCAGTTGATACTAGAAAGGTTAGTTGAGGGGAAAAATTCTGAACTTGCCTTCCAGGAAGTTACTCTTTGTGAATGTTGTGGTTAATAATGTGAAGTAACTATAACATTCAATAATTATCTAAACCATTTCTTTCACATCTAGGAGATTAATATTTCTTAAAATTTTATGTATATATATATTTTTGGTCTTAAAAGTGAGGAATTAACAATATTTATGCTCAAACATCCTCCTTTCCCAAATTTGCTGGCATTTAAAATTGTAATTTGGATTCTTTTGAACCTTCTATAAGAATTCTTTGTTTTTAGAATTCTGATGGTATTATTAAGACAAAATACTAGAGATAATGAGTTTTGATGTGTCATTTTATAAGCAGCACCACTTTTATTCAGAAACATTGAGCGTACTAATCATTAAATATTTTTCCTTATTTATTGAAGTATAGAGCTTTCAGTTTTTCCATTTGCCAAATACTGGTTTAAGAAAGCTTTTTCTTGAAATATTTTGTGCAATTTAGACTTCCCAGGTTGATATGGGCCTTCCCCCCCCCCCAATGGATTAAATTTAGTTAAAGTTTTTTATTATATATTTGGGGAATACATGGTGGGTGAGTCCCCTTTCTGAGTCTGGGCAGTGTAACTTTAGAGATGTAAAATTAAATGTTCTTTTCTTTCTTTCTTTTTAAAGAATTACCAGGGCAAGAGCACTTTGAACACAGCAGGGTTTTCTTCTTCACAAACTCCCAATCCAGTAGACGATGAGTCATGGGATTAAAGCTAAAACATCCTTCAAGTTTGTGGTATAGTTTTGATGCAGAGAAGAAAAAAGTTTTGATTTTTGAGTTTTTAACAGAAGTGTGAAACCTGACACTCTTGTATCTTCTGTCCTTCTGTTCTTACTCCCACCCTTAAAAAAAAAAAATTCTTACTGACTAGTTATGTGAAATGCTAAAAATTACAACATTGCAGTTACTGATACAAATGGTGTTAACTGGAAAGATTAAAGCATTCTAAATGTCTTGCTTATTTCTAGTGTATTCTTCAGGGGTTTTAGACATGTTTCATGTCTAAATGCTTAATCTTAGTGTGGTGTTTATTGATCCTTTAACAAGCAGTAGAATTTATGATAAACTTTTGTTTAGAAATTGAGTCTCATTTTTTACTTAAAAGGAGCCTTTAAAGCAATAGTATGTCACTGAAACATGGTAACATGATTTTCATGTAGCAGACAGTGAAAGACATAAGCCTTTTAAGGTGATTTTGATTTTAGATCATTAGATTTGTGATGAAAATGGTTAAAGGCAACGTGAGCTCTGTACTCAATGACATAACAAATGTTTGTTTTTATTCTATACAGACTTTCCTTGAAAATAAAGGATAAAACATGTTTCCCCCTTTGTTTTCCAAGAGCACTTTTAATTTTTCTTTGTTGGCATATCATAGTTCTCCTATATTTTTAAATTTTGAGTCTTGTAAAACCAATGAAGTGAACAAGGTCTTACATAAATAAATATACATAAATAAAATATTAGATATTTATGTATAATAGACATTAATACACAGATGTAATGGTGAAAATCATTCTTCAAACTCATACTCTGTCAACAAAACACAATGCTGTTCACTCTTGCCATAATTAATATTTTGATATTTTAAGATTAATGAGAATCCTTTTTTCATTTACCAGTATATATCTTACATTCTAGACGTACTAAGTTTAAGTAGTTCTTAATCATTAAATAAATGAACCAAAATATTAAGACAGAAACAAGTGAGATGTAAATATTAGACAAAAAATGGTCAATTATTAATGTGTAATTGTCCCCAATGTATATCTTGTTACATGAATTTGGTTAATAAATGAGGCATCACATATGAAAAGAGAAGGTCTGTTCAACAAATGTTGTTAGGACTAGATGCCTGCCGCATGCCATATTCAAAATCTGATCCACATGTATTATTAAAAATTAAAACTACAAAAAATACATTGTTAAGTATGAAACCTTTGAATTGGGGATGAGAGTTGACTTCATCTCAAAGGTCAGAAATCATGAAACAGATTCGAGCACAAAAGGATTAGTTGCTTATATAATATAAAGAGTAAACAACAGACAAGGAAAAATATTACTGTGACTACAATGGATTATCAATGTGTAGTTCTTTATATGTGGATATGTAGGAATACCAGTAGAAGAATGGACAAAGAACAGACAACTCAAGAAAGGAGAGTTCAAGTAATGAAAATATGGGAAATATTTAACTTGTATTCTGTAATGTCATTTCTGGGAAAGGTTAAATGAAGGAAAGTGTTTGGGTCGTTACTTGCAAAATACCTGTGTGTCTTAATTTCCTCCTCCACTTTGTTTTGTTTACAAAGAGAATATATAGGCCATTTGTCTCCCCCCTCTCCCAGTTCTTTAAAGAGTTTTTTGGCCTAATTGCTTTTAGAAATTTTTTTGAATTTGCATGATTTGTAAAATTACCATAATAGCATTACTGAATCAAATATAAAAAGGGAAAGAATATTGTACCTAATTCCACTATCATTACAAACCAACTGTAAATGTTCCTATGTTCACTTACTTTCTGCATTTCTAGGTATACATTTGACTGATTTCTTTAAAAAATATCAAAGTAACAGGTACAGGTATGATTAGAAAATAAAATGCCACAGAAGAGTTTGTAATAGGAAGCAGTATTCTCCTGCATCTCCCTTTCTTAATTGCTATTTCACATCCCATATTCAGCAGGCTTTCATGATTTCTGGTAGTTGGTATTGTGTGTTTTATTTTTGTCTCAACAAATTTAGATTTCTCTTGGCTTTCCCTATATAGGTAAAGATTTAACTTACGTCACTCTCACTTTCTTGGTAACTTTAACAGAGTAAGAGGTATACTTTATGAGGTAATGATAAAGGCTCCCTTTCTCTTTTTTATGGCTTTTACCCTGTATCACCTGTAAACTGTACATTTACATTTCCAGAGTTAAAACGTCCACTCTATTCTATAACCATAAAGTCTCTCTTATTTATAGGTTGATTCTAAATTGGAAATCAGTAGGTAGGTTTTACATTATATAAACACTGTTTGATGAATGGACCAATTAACACAGTCTGATTTCCTTTCTTTTACTTATTTTTCCAATTTTATGATCTGTGTTTCCAGGGAGAAATTATAAATGTCAGGGTGAAATGAAAATTGATCAAAACCATTCCACATACCAGCTTGCTTTAAACTTGCATCATACTCATTTTGAGCAATTTGTTAATTCTGTAGTGTGTATTTTTTTTTTTCCCTAGGAGAAGCAGCATGCTCTTTCCACCTTATTACCTTTCTAGGTTCAATGTTATTGTATTGATCCCAAAAGATACTGGTGTTTTTAAATTTTATGAGTGGGCTTTCAAATTCAGGCTAGTACTTGGTATTTTAGCAGACCATTCTTTTCTGGTCCTAGAAATGTTTTGTATTGTTTGTTTGATAATTTTTCCTAAGTTTTCTTCATTCTCTCTATAGCTCATATCTTTCATATATATATATTTTTTCATCTTTTTGCTTGTTATGTTCTGGTAGAATTTTTACTATTTTTTAACCCTGTGATTTTTTTTTTTTTGGCAATTATTATTTCCAAGGGCTGTCTTCATTTCTTTGTTATTCATTGTTGCTATTGAATAGTGACTTTTTTGCTTCACTTAGGAATTTAACCTAAAAATAATTTTTCTTACATTAAGCATTTATTTTTCTGCTGCTTGGCATCAGAAACCTTAAGTCTTTATCAATTTATACAGTTGTATGTCTCTTGAATGCTGGCTTTACTCATGTTCAGCAATCTGTACCTTCCCCTTGGAGCCCCTGTAGTCTGAGTGCTCTTCTGTCTAACTCTATGGCAAGGCCTGCTTTCAAGAGAAGGCACAGGTTGAGATGTGAGTAATAAAGCTTAGCTTCCTTTCCTAAAGGCTTCTGTATTTTTAATGAGCCAAAGGCTGTGGCCTAAGCCAAAGTAGGAAGCTCAAAATGTGGAATATAAAGCATCATGTGAAGGTTTGGGAATAATGGTGATGTAGTAGCAAATAAAGTTGAGGCCTGGTCCTGATTCCACTTAAGGTAGATTTACTGAGGTACTCCCATCTGTCCCTAGGTTCTTGGAGGAGAGGAGTTAGGGTTTTTCTAATTTTTTTAGCATGGATAACATCTCTATGTAGAGCAGCAGCCCTGGTCAGAAGTTTTCCCTTCCCGCCCTTCCCAGGACTTTACACTTACCCAGTTTGCACAGTTACGTCTTTATTGACCCTCTGCTTTGGGAGAACGCAGCTTTTCATTTTGTTTGGTTTGTGTGCTCTTCAAGGATTTTTAAATGTTGAAACTAGGGTACCTCTCTAGGCTTTAATTTCTGGGGGCCCTCTCTCAGTCACTCGCCAGCGTGCGGCTGCCATCTATGGCTGGCAGACGCCGCTTACGCTCAGTGTCGGCTTGATCCCCCATCGCGCCGCACGCCGAGCTGCGTGCTTAGTACCTCTTTGGTAAAAATTAGTCCAGTGTGGAACCGCATTGTGTCCCGAGGCCCTGGCAGTGAGGAACGGCGCTCTCTTACGGCGATCCGGCCAGGAGAGAGCTGAGCCTCGGCAGTCAGACGGCCCTGGGATGGCTGTGGCCACTGTGAAGCCGCCAGTGCTGGAAAGCCGCTTCTGCCTGCGTCCCGGCCCGGGAGGCTACTCCCAGGGGCGGCCCCAACCGGTGCGCCTTCCGCTCTCCTGGACCTGGCAGGGCTCACTCCGAGGCGAAGCCGAAGCCAGGAAGTGACAGGAGCGCGGGCGTGGGGCGGCGGGAGCCTTCGGGGCGGAGCGGGAGGTTGCCTGAGGGGATCCAGGGGGCTGCATGGTCGCGGAGGGGTGGGTGCCTGGGCGACGGGTGTGCCGGTCGGTAGTGGGCTGGCCCTGTGGGCTTTCCCTGGACTCTCTCATTAGTATTCCTAAACTTTTGCGATCACATACATTACAGAGCCCACTTGTACAATAGATTTCAGGGATCTTATCAGCCTCTGTCAAATCCATTCATAGACCCACGCAAAGGGTCCGGAACCACAGATGAAGACTCGTACTCTAGAGACAGATGTGGTAGTGCCATGAGGCACTCATGTGAGGCGAGCATGGGGGATGACAGGGTGGTGTGCTGGGACACTACAGACGCTGGAAACTGAAGTGAGCTAATGATTTGTCCTCAAGTTTGGGGGCTGGTGGTTCAGGTAAATCTGTTAACCCTTTCAATGATTCATTAATTGTTTTGCAGTAATTTAGGGGATGATTGGCAAATTGTCAAAGTAGAGTATTGGAATTTGCTTTTCCTGTGGGGGAATTTTCAGTGTGAGAATCCACCAAAGGATTTTTTTTTTTTTTTTTGGTCTCCATTAATTAGGGGTTTTCTGGATTTGGAGTCTAATGGGTTTGTGGGATTCCTTTTCACTATTCAGGAACAAAAACCAATTTTCTTCTTCTGAATATATGAACTTATTAATTATCCCAAAGTCTTGGATATGTCTATTTTAACTTGATTTTTGTCTTAGTTTTAGGAGGAGGGTTACCATGTGGGGGATTAAAACATTCTCGACAGAAATCCAAACACTTTATTTAAAAACTTCTATGCATAGGAGGAGAAGCTCCTATATAACAAGGTGGGCGGGGATGCTTTATAATAAATAGTTGGAGTAAACTTAACATTGGCTTTATTTGTTGACTTGTCTAACACAATCAGTGATCTGCTTTAGGGTTTGGTTGGCTTATATATAAAAAGAAGACAATAACTGGATTTTTCTTCCTGTTCATCTCCAGCCAATGAAGAAGTCACATAATGCATGCAGTTACAATATTTTTTAAGAGAGGCAGCCTTGTATAAAAACGCAGAGTATCATAGCTAAATGTTGGTGCACTTGTATTTTAATGTTCAAGTCTTAGTCTAGTATTATAGCACTAGCTGCTTTGTCAGTGTTAAATGGATAGTTGAGAAACAACTATCAGATCACATTTGCAGCTCTAGTGGTTGAGTCTCTATTATAAATACTACACGGGCATGAATGATGCTTGTTAATTGACCATTTTGGCATCTTACTGTGTACCTCATCTATTAATTTTTTCAATCATTCTTAAGATGTTCACCACTGGAGATTTATTATGATCATTCACACATGGTAATCAGCCAGGTAAATGCAGTGCAGGTTCTGACAGTTTCATCTTAATATATTTGTTCTGAATTATCTTACTATGTTACCAGTCATCTGGGTTTGTAGAAAATTTAGTTGCAGTAATTTATTTCAATTCTGTAAATAAAAGTACTGTTGATACAGTGCCACAAAGTTAATACCAGCATTTGACATAGAATGTAGTGCCAAAATAAGTATAGTTTGTCATAGTGTGGATATTAGAAATAAACTATATATATATAGTGATGCTAATCACTTATTTGAACTAAATGATAACAGAGGCTTGTAGTTTTCTTCTCTGTGTATAATGTGGTAGGAAAATGAACACTACTGTAGTGAAAACACTCAAGTTGACCGAAGTTTGAACCCCAGCTCAACTTCTCACTTGTGTGCTCTGGGACAAGTTAACTGTTTAATTTCTTTATTTGAAATAAAATTTACATATAATAAAATGCACAAATCTTAAGTGTATGGCTTAAATTTTCACCTGTGTATACTTCTAACCATCACCCAAATCAAGATAATGTAACACTTGTATCACCTTCTTGCCCCTTTCCAGTCAAATCCCTACCTGGCGGTAATTACTATTCTGATTTTTATTACCATAATTAGATTTACCTGTTCTTGAACTCTATCTAAATGGAATCATGGAGTATGCCCTCCTTTGTGTCTGGCTTTTGGCTAACATAAAATCTGTGAAATTTATCCATGTTGTGTTTTGTGTGTCAGTAGTTTATTCATTTTTTTAAATTGTGTAGTATTCTGTCATATGAATCTATTACAAGTCATTTTTCCAATTTCTTGTTGATGGGCACTTGGGTGGTTTTCAGTTTTTTATGAATAAAGCTCCTATGAATATTCTTATACAAGTCTTTTGGTGAACATAGCACTCAGTTCTCCTAGGGCTGGAGTTGCTGGGTCAAAAGGTAGGTTTAGGTTTACCTTTATTAGAAATAGCCAAAGAGTTTTTTCCAAAGTGGTTGTACCATTTAACATGGCCACCAGTGTTTTGGGAATATTTAATTTGCTCAACATCCTCACCATTACTTGGTACTTCCAGTATTATTAATTCTAGTCATTTACTGTGGTTGTAATTTATATTTACCTGGTGATTAATGATGTTGAGTGCCTTTTCATATGCCTGTTGGGCATTTTTGTCTTTCTACCCCTGTTTACATATTTACCTAGTCAAGTTATGCAAACTCTACACCTTGAGTGGGAAAAGGGAGTGAGAAAAAATGGAATCAAGAGATGGGGTGCTATCTTGCTGCTCAGTGGTGACACCAAGTGCTATGAAATTGTTCTTAAACTTTGGGTTACTGATTATATCTATGAGGGTGACACTAGCTGCTGTTAAAAACCCTAAGACTTCAGAGACTTAAGAGAGAATTCCTTTTTTTTTTTTTTTTGCCCACCATGAATGTCCAAGGAGGGAATTCCTGGTAGGTAGGTGGCCTTTCAAATAGGTGGCCTTTCAAATATTCAGGATTCTAGGCTTCTTCCATCATGTAGCTTTGTAATCTTTTGATACATGGCTTCCAAGGTCTTTATGCTTCTCTTCATCAACCCAGAGAAGGGAAGAGTTGGGCAGGGGAGGGAGGACATGGGCATATATGGAAGATTTTGATGGGTTAGGCAAGGAAATGGCATATACATCTCTTTTCATCATATTCCAGTGTTGAGAACACAGACGAATCTAACTGTAAGGGAGGCTGGGGAAAGTAGCCTTCCCCGGGAAGTTGAGAATTGGCCAGCAGTCTCTGCCAATAGTGACGAAATGGTATGTTCTTAGGAATAGTCTATGGATTTCTGTATTAAACTGAGTCAGGACAAAGACTGAACTTCTTTGTTAGCTTCAAATAGCAATGAATCTGTATAAATTGTTAAGCACGACACTTCCTATTCTCTTTGTGTAGCCTGACAATGCTGTAGGAGTTGGAGAGTGACTCTTAGAAGTACAGATAATGATAACTTAATGAGTTCATTCTGTGATGGCTAAAATGCTTTGCTGAAATCTCTTTTCCATTATAATTTTATTTATTTAATATCTGATATTTATAAAATTAATTTAGAATAAGGTAACTACTTTGTCTTTTATTAATATTTCAGGACTTTGTGATTTTAAAACTTAAAGTGTGTAAGAAGTTTTTAGTGGCTTGTTAGAAAATGACTTCTGATACTGTCCATGGGGAATTGCAAAGCTGTTTCTTTAACACCTTTCCCTAAAGTTTCTAAGATACTCCTAATATGTTAGAGTTGCTGAGTCATTCAACTTTTTAAAAATTGTTATATTCTGAACCAGTAAGAGATGGATTATCTTGAATTCTCTAAACCCTGGGTCAACAATTAAGAGTCCAGTGCACATCATTGTTAGAGGGAGGAGGGAGAAGAAAACAAGGGAAGAAAGAAGAAAGGGAACAGAAGGAAAATGAGCATGAGTTGAAGTCCATGCAGTAGAGCTTCCTAAGTAACCCTGTGTTTAAGCTTTCTACGGGTAAAGTGTTGCTCTAGAGTAGTGCTGTACTTCAGAAATACAATGTGAGCCATATATGTAATCAATACATCCCAAATATTTCTGCATATAATCAATATAAAAATTAGTGAGGTAGTTTACATTTTTTTGGTCCTAAATCTTTGAAATCAACTGCACATTTTATAATTAGCTCACATCTCATTTTGGATGTGATTTTCATTGGAAATACTTTAACAGTATTTAGTCTTTATAAAATATACATAATATATATTGTGATTCACATATCCAATATAGGTTCACATACCCAAGTTGTTCCAAACATACTTAAAAGTTTTCCAATAGCTGAAGCAAGTCTCAGTTTTAAAATTTAAATTTAGGTTAATAAAAATTTATATTCTCAGTTGCACTAGCCATGTTTGAAGTGTTCTATAGCCACTTCTGTATCCATAGTGCAGCTCTACAGTTTAGACTGAGTTTGAACTCTAAGCTCTAGGAAAGCATGTCCTTCTCTCTGGCATTGAGAAAGTACTCAAATATTTGTGGTTTGAAAATATTATCAACATATTTTCAAGTAAGTGGAGTTGAAAGTGAGACATAATAAATAAGCTAATTTAATTGAACAGCTTGGGGAAGCCAGGCTTCTTTTCCAAAACTTAATTATTCTTAATTAGTTTTCAGAGTGCAGCTATTTAGACCAGAGTGGCTATACCTTATTGGAAGATGCTTCTTTCCAACCTTATGGCTGGTAACTGGTCAAATTATGTATTAATTGCCGCACAGTGGATTAGTTAAACAACTGTAGGGGAAAATATTCAAAATGCCCTTTCTGTAATCCACTAGTGTGGATTTGGGGTATACACATCAAAGGATAATGAATGTAGTGAAAACAATTAAGGTTGAAAATATGAAAAATAATCATACACCCCATTTCATGTCACTCTGAAGAGGGAAATACTTCGTTGTTAGAGGGGCATACACCTTTAATTTACAGAAAAAGAAAAAATCTAACTTGGAAAATGTTCCACAGTGTTAGAAAAGAACTCTTTATATTCTTTGAAAATGAGGATATTGTACTCTAATATACATTTGTTTTGTCCACTAATTACCCAAATTGTACTAGTTCAGTGTTCTACCAAAGATGCATTTCTTCCATAAAGCCTTCCTTGACTACCATAATTCAGGTGCTACCTTCTTTCCTTGAATTATTTTCTCATGAGAATCAAATATTTTGTCATCCAAATACTAACTACAGTGTTATGAACTGTTTCCATTTGATTAATAAATTTTGTCATGTCTAGCACATCTAACTCAGTGTTTTAATAAGTAGCAGTTGCTCAACATTTTCTTGAGTCCCCAGAAAATCAGAACAATCCAAAAATTCTGGCTGATAAACCATCTTAGGAACCTCTGACTGTTCCCATGCTTTGTGTTCAAATTCCTTTACTGCATTCTACTCAACTCGACTGATGGCACAAACTCAGCTGAGCTGCCATGTGCTGGAGTACTGGATTAAATAAGCCAAAATGAAAGTGACGGTCAAGCTTTTAATCACTTATTGTAATTGTATACACAGGAGTCTAAACCAGAGAAAGACTCCCCTGTTCCACTTATCCCTGTGAAAAGGCCCACTGGTTGAGGGTCAGTTGCATCAGCATGAATATGGGGTATTGTCTCACTGTTGAGTGAGTCACAAACAGAAGGCTTCTGCAGATTTGTGGACTAGGGTGGAGGGAAGAGGAAAAGGGAGGGCTAGGAGTGAAAAAGCATTAAGTCAGAGTGAAGGAGATTGTTTTCCAGTTTTCCCCCATAAGGAGACCTCCAAATAGAGTCACCTGGGCCTGGGTCCTTCATTGCAACAACGTTCAGAGATTAAAGTGCACTGGCTCTACCCCAAATCTGATGTGGCGAGGACAGCTTTCTCCTGTGAGGCCTGCCAGGTAAAGCCTTTGTAATGGCCTGTGTTCAGTCCTGAAATTTCATAGAGGGTTTTTTTTTTTCTTTTTGGCCAGAAGCTGGACTCCTCAAATATGAAATCACTTCTCTTCTAAAGACTTGAAACTACTTTCATCTACTGCAGGAGGTACATTTTTCCTATGTTTGAGTATCTTTGATATCAGGATATCAAAGGTAGTAACAGTCGTGATCTAACAGTAACAAAGGTAGCCAGGTAACAGTTGTGATCTAATTGTGTGAAACCTTCCATTGACACCTTTGGGTAAAATCAAAAGTACCAGCATCAAAAAGTCTTCAGTTTCAGTGTCTTTTCCCCAGTGTATATTCTTGCCTCCTGTATTGTAGAATAATCGATTGTGTAAGCATGGACTTATTTCTGGGCTTTCTGTTCCATTCCATTGATCTCTATGTCTTTTTTTTGTGTCAGTACCACCCTGTTTTGATTACCACACCCCTGCAGTATATCTTGAAATCTGGGATTGTGATTCCTTCAGCTTTGTTCTTTCTCGAGATTCCTTGGGCTATTTGGGGCCTTTTGTGATTCCTTATGAATTTTAGTATTATTTGTTTTAGTTCCATGAAAAATGCTGTTGGTGTTTTGATAGGGATTATATTGAATCTGTAGATTGCTTTGGGTAATGAGGACATTTTAACAATAGTAATCCTTTCAATCCACGAGCATGGAGTATCTTTGCATTTGTTCATGTCATCTTCAATTTCTTTCATCAGTGTTTTATATTTTTCAGAGTACAGGTCTTTCACCCCCTTGGTTAAGTTTATTCCTAGGCATTTTACTCTTTTTGGTGCAGTTACAAATTGAATTGTTTGATGAGATGTAGTATCCTTTTGTATTGTCTTATCTTCATAAACTACCTATATCACATCTTGAATTTGGCATTTTATGTCTTTGGCATCTCTATTTTAGACTTTCTTAGCATGTTCTGATGAGATAGATTGACGTGTAGGGTATAGAAGAAGAGGAGAATATAATGGGATATTCTCAAGCAGAGAGGCTAATGTCTAATTGATCTTTAATCGTTGTTACCCCATATTTAATTATGAGAGCTTCCCATAATTAAGTAAATTATTTCTCAGCCACCTAAGAAGAGTAAGTTCTCTGTTTGTTTTTGTTTTTTTTTTTTCTGATGAAAGGCCCTTACCCTATAAAGGTCACACAGGTCTAAAAACACCTATTAAATCTTTCTTGTCTCCCCTCCCCCCCCCACTGATGTTTATTTACCTTTTGTAGGGATTGTTTGAAGATCTAACTATGCCAACCTTTTCTGGAAATGACTTGAAATCTTGCTTAGTACTTTTGGGAAATGTGACATGGCTGAAAATGAAACTTGCCCCATTTGGTTAGCCAAAGATCCTGAGGGAGTTGTAAAGAGACTAAACACATGAAAGGACATTTCACTGTACCCTGTGTCGGGACTGCTGTGAGCTGTTGCATAAGCTTTGTCAGAGCAGAACAAATGAATTAAACCATGGGATGTTCTATGAGCTTTTGTAGGATCACCTGGAGCCATTTCCTAAAATCCAACTGCTAAAACTGTCCTGGAATAAGGTCTGGGTATAAGATTCTGATGATACCGCAGTGCTACCCCCCTTTAGTCTCATTTGTCTTCAGTGCAGTTTGGAAACCAAATCCAAATGGTAGATAGGAGGAGGAAACCAAAGAATCCTGAGAGACCACATAAGGAACGTGGCGAGCGAGGGCCCTTCTGTAACAAGGAGATCAAATCCTGGGACAATGGCCCTGACAGCCTCGCCTGCCATGGACTGAACCAGAGGCTCAGGCATTGGAATCCCATTGGAACAAAATGGACTTTCTCTTCCTTTTTTGTTACCCCCACTTTACTTTTCCCATGTATTTCTCTGTTCTAACCCTCCCCTTAGCCCTGGCTTATTCTGATATGCTTGACTACTGGCCAGACCTACTTTAGAAAGAAATATCACAGATAGATGTAATTAATAAATTTTCTACTTTCTCTCTTGAAATCTGTTTAATTACAGCTGCATAATAAATTACCCCCAAACTGAGTGGCATAAAGCTACATTATTTCACTGTTTCTGTGGGTTAGGAATCTGTGTGTGGCTTAGCTAAGTCCTCTGTTTCTGGGTGTTTAACAAAGCTGTAGTCAAGGTGTTGGCCGGGATGTAGTCATATCAGGGCTTGACTGGGCAAAGATCTGCTACAAGTAGCTCGCCGAAATTACTGTTCACAAATTTTAGTTCCTCTCAGGTTGGTTGGCCTGAAGGCCTGTTTCTCACAACCTGTTGATCACAGGCTTCCCTGTGAGTTCTTTGCCATGTGTGCATCTCTGTAGCACAGTCCACAACATGGCTGCTGGCTTCATCAGGGCAATCGAGAGGGAAGAGAGTATGAGAAAGAAGCTAGAATTTAAAAACTTGATCTCAGAAGTGACATCACATCACTTGTGCTGTTTGTATTCTGTTAATTAGAAGTGAGTTACTAGTTCTAACTCGAACTCCACAGAGCATTGAATAACATGTGAATAACAAAAGGCAAGATCAGTGGGAGACCTTTTAGAAGCTGTGTACCACAGAATATACATTATTATATAATGGTATAAAATTGAAAACAAGGGTATGGATGTGAATCCTGTTCTGTACTCTTGAGTATAGTATCACAAATGAAAAATTTATCTTTAATCTTCCATCTGTCCAATTGGAATAGTAGGAAACTTATCTCAGTCATTACTGGGGATCACTCTCACCCAACACATAAACTTAGAGTTGGCTGAGATTTTAGGTCATGAGCACCATCAAAGCCCTGGGCAGGCCCTTCGCATCAAGCTCATGGAGCCTACAAATTCTTAATCTCTCCCCAGTCTGAGGTTGGGTGGGAGCTTTCTTACTCTTACTCTCTGCTGCCCTTCTAGGCACTCCCTCGCCCTTCCCTGAGGTAACTTTTCCATTAATCTGGGCTCTCCCTAAAGACTGGAAGAGTCATGGACTTCAGGTGGACATTTCCAGTTTGTTCACATTCCTAAGTTAAAGAAATAACAGTGATCCTGGTTTCTTGCTTGTAATGGGAAGAAAGGAAAAATAAGAGTGGAATATTAACATCCCAAACTATCCTGTTGACAACATATAAAGAGAAAAACTTTTTAGACACCATTTAAATATTTTTCACCAAGCTGTTCATATGGTTATCATCTTAAAATTTCTGTTCGATAGCTCCAATATCTGAGTCATGTCTTAGTTTGGTTCTGCTGACTATGTCTTGACAATATTGCCCAAATTCCAGTCATGTGTAGAGACTCAGGTAAATAGTTTTTATGCCTGGAAATAGATGTACTTGTTCTGGCAGGCCATCAGTGTATGCGGAGTTGATTTAACTTTGCCAAATTTTGAGCTGGGTTTGGGCTTCAGTGTACCACAGGCTGCAAATTCCTTTAATTGTGGGCTGCTATTACCTTGTGCTTAGGGTGAGGTCTGGGCTGTTCTGCACAGGTCCACCCCAGAGGGGTTCTCTCTCTCTCCATGCTCTTGCCTCTCCCCCAGCAGAAGACCGTGGTTGCTGCTTACTTGGTGCTAGGCTTGTGGCCATCTTAGCATGACCTACGTCGTCCTAGACAAGGCTTGTACTCTTGGGCCTTGGAGGTGAGGCTTTCTCAGCATTTCTGCCTTTCCTACCCTTTGTAGCCAAACTCTGCCTTAGATCTGCAGTTGGTCTTGGGCAAGAGATAGTCTCCTATTTATTCCAGTGGTAGCAGATTTCCGGATCTTAGTGCCAGATCTGGGCCAGAGCTGCTTTCTTGCCCCTCTCTGATGAGTTGAGAGGTTTTGCTTTTACCTCCTCCCCAGTGGCCAGTGGATCTTCTCCTGTGTCCTGGGTGAGAGGATTTCCTGTCCTCTCCCAGAAGCAGCAGGTTTGCTTTTATTCCTCCTACAGAGGCAGCGGAGTTTTGTTTGTGCATTGGTGGTGAGGGGTTCTTTGTCCTCCAATACTGGTAACTGATTATATCTTGCCATTTGCTTCACTGAGGAGGGGGTGGGGGTGGGTGAGATCCATCTCCCACCCCATCTCCAGTCTTTCTTGTGAACACTCTTGTGGAACACTCTCTGGTAAAGAGCTTGTCTGTGCCTGGCTTCTCCAACTATTTGAAAAAGACATGCTAGCCCATACTTGGCCTTAAGGATTCGTTACAAGTCTTGCTGACCTCTTACCTGCTTGTAGGGCAGCCACTTCTTTCTCCTGTCCTTGTTAAAGGTGAAACAATTTGTATGTTCTGTCTCTCCTTGCAGAAACTTGTCCCTCTCTAGAATTCCTTTTATTGGTGCCTTAGGACTTCAGCTCTTTGATGGGCTCAAGAAAAGTTTTTGTGTCGTAAGGGCTGTTTTTGTTGTTAAGCTGGAAGTTACATTTTCTTGCAGTTTTCTACGGTCTAAGCGGAACGCTAAATTCAGTTTTCTGTAACATTGAATCAGCAATGATACTTTCCACAAACACAGATATAAGTAATGTCAGAGGCAAAGGTTATATTACAAAAACAGAACACTAAAGTCCCCACTTCAGTGTGGAATCTCACAGAGTGGTTTTTGCCAAAACAAAAGCAGCACCAGCAACACACACCCTGTAATAAGATACATAAATCTGCCAGGAAAGGAACATTTATCCCAACTTGGTTAATATTTGTTTTTAGTGTCCTCAAGATACTTATTATTTGCATAAATATTTTTCAGTTTTTTAGTTTATCCACCATACAAGATGCTATGTGTGTCAACTGTTTTTCCATTTTTTCAGAATTCCATAGTAAATTACAGTTTGAGTCCTATGCCCTCTGGCTTTAGCTCTAACTTGCTCAAAGCTGATTTGCTGACATCAAATAAAATAAGCACACCAATAATAATACAGGCTGTTTGGATCCTATGCTTCTCTAGTACCTAGACCTTTATTTTTTATCTGCTCTTCTGGCCCTTAAAATAAATGCACAGTGTGTGCATATTGTAAATC